TTGTAAGTATTTCATAACTTTAAAGCCATTTTCATTATGTAAATATTATTTTGTCCCCTAATATAAACGCTTTGTCTAGTATTTGCAATTCCAAAAAACTAAAATTTACAACAAATTAATGTTTCTGTGACAAATAATATGCATATGAATTAGAATGTTCTTATATTTTGGCTTAAATTTTACTTTCTTGTATTTTCTCGTCCATTTTTGGTAACGATTTGCCAACTTGTTACTGACTAATCTTTTTCTACAGCCAATTCTGCATCAGATAAACCAAAAAGTATAACAAATGGGTGTGTCAGTGATGAGAAATAAGCATTTGAACATAGACTATTATTTTTTTAAAACAGTGCGCTTATAGAATTATCCCCTTGTAAGTGCTGCAAAATTAAAATGGGAAGCAAATAAAAATGACACCCGTGGCGCTGTGGCTGTGGCTGTGGCGGCTACTGTGTGTGCCAACCTATTTTTGTGGAAGTTAATACCGAAGAAATGGTGCATTCATAACTTTAAAGCCATTTTCATTGTGTAAATATTATTTTATCACTTAAGATAAACATATGCTCGAGACAAGGCAATTCCAACAAACTAAAAATTATAACAAATTAATGTTTCTGTGACAAGAAATACATATATAAAGAAATATGTTACACAAACACATTATTTTTGCTTCAATTTTATCTTCTTAGTAACATGGATATTTTCTTTCACACTTTTCATACAATTTCATGGGCAACTAAATATAATAATAAGTTTGATGGATTAAAATTATTATTATGGTAGACAGTGTGCTTATTATTATGAGAAACTGTTTGCTGATTATAATTAGGATTTGATTTATCTTTTCAAATGAGTCTAATATTAATATGGCCATTAAAAGACTGACACAACATTTTATTTTATTATTTTTTTTAACCCAATAAATATGCAGAACTCAAAATTTAACAATAATTATCTATTGATTTACAGTGTTAGTATGAAAATCTTTAAAACAATTAGGACGTAATTTAGAGCAGCAAAGAGGCACATTACATTTAATGCACCATAATTGACTTCGTGGTATACTACTACTGCTGCTGCTGCTGCTGCTTTCTCTACTATTTCTGATCAAATACCTACAATATATACATTCATCTCTTTTCTCTCTCCATTCTGGAAAGTGGTTTCCAGGTAATAAACGAGAGATAGGTAGTTCAAAATTTTTAGTAACATAAGGACCTTTTGATTTGGTCTGATAAAATAATTCATTATCATAACAATAAGTAGACATTGATCTGGTACTGATACTATTATCATTATCCATGACATCTTTAATGAGTCCCCATACTAATTCAATTCTGAATTTTTTGCTCTTAACAGGCTCATTTATAACCTTGTTGTAAAGAATGAAACAGTTTACAAGCACAGTATCTAATAGCCAAAAAAGTAAGGGAAACCAGTTACGGTGAACAATTAACTGACAATTGTAGTAACCTCTAAGTTGATCAGCAATATCAACACCTCCCATGTAATGGTTATAATCATCAATCACCTTTGGGATTGATAATTCTTTCCTTGAAGCATTACCAAAAACTCTGCGCACTGTACTAGCATTGGAACTTGTTTCTCTTGGCCGTCGTCTATTACGAACAATTTTCCATTCATCACCAACAATTTGATGAATAGTAGTGAGCATTGTTACTGGACTATTATCCACCCATACAATAACTAAAACATCATCTACTACTTTCCCAGAAATTGTATTCCAATCTAGAGATATCCCTTTGTTTATTTTTAACTCTTTAGGGAATTTAGATGAGTTAGTACGGACAGTCCCACATGCACCTAAACCATTATCACGCATATATTTAAAAAGTGGAATACTGGAGAAATAATTGTCCATGTATACATGAAAGGTTTTGTGATGAGGAAGTTGTTTTACCAAGTGCCAAACAGAACCTCCTATTTTACTAAGTCCAACAACAGGTGCTACTTGCACATCCTTTTCAATACGTGAAGTGAATGCAAATGTATATGTATACCCTGCATCACAGAGTGAAAAGATCTTGTAACCCTCTGGTGTTGGTTTGTTTTTCATTCTTACTGTATGTGCACTACGACCAGAGAAACGGGCAATCATCTCATCTACAGATACTTGTGAACTAGGAAAATACAATTGTTTGCTTACTTCTCGAATATGTGATGCTAAGGGTTCCACTTTAGAATACCAGCATAAGTGTGGTTCAGTTGGGTTAGAAATATGAAGAAATCGTTTTATCTGTTGAAATCTCAATAAAGTCATATACTCTTTAATGCTGTGAACTGCTCTCTTTTCATTTGAATTCCACAAATCCTCAACAGCATAGATTTTATGAACTCCCATGTAAATCACTAATGCAAACCAGATTTTTAGTTCATTTAAGGTCAATGGATACCAAGGACGACCACCTTCAACGCTTTTTATTTGCTCATATTTATTAGTACTTTCAACAATCATTTGTAATTGTTCGTCGGTGAAGAACAACTTAAATAATGCAAGTATGCTAACATTATTATCTAGTTGTATATCAGGTGGCAACATTACATAACCTTTATGGAGTCCTTGAATGTTGTGCATGGGCGTGAATACAGGCGGTTCTGGGAGTGTTGGCGGCTGGCGCAACGGCATACCTCCTCTTCCTCTTCTTCCAACCCCCCTTCCTCTTGCCCGTCCCCTTGCCCGTCCCCTTGCCCGTCCCTTGCCTCTCATATTTCTACTTGTTTCTCCAATGTTTTGCTCTCCTTCAGAGTCTTCACTCTCCTGTTCTTCCTGATTGTATTCATCGCTGAGTTGGATCTCCTCAACGAGGTCTACAAGCTCACCTATCTCTTCGTCTACTATGGTTGTTTCACGGAGATTACGCCCTAAAGTAACCAAGTATTGCGAACCAAAAATGACTTCTGGGTTAGTGGTCTGGGACATTTTCCTGCAGAAAATCTATTAATATTACTATTGACACAGTTTATGATACTAAAGTGTAGTATTTTTGTGACTTCTATTCACAACGAACGATAATCGTATGACTTAGGGTTAATGATCGGCAAACGATCTGCAGACTGAACGAGCTCTGTAGAGCGACCAGTGTGACCGAGGGTCACGTGACTTTGTATAATGCTAGCTACGGATCTGAGGTTTCCAACAAACTATATATGTCGGGTTATACATTCAGTAATAAAGGAGATATAAAGCGATTTTGTCAGTGAATCAAAATTCCGTTCAAATTTGAACGGAAAACAGTCTAAGGGAT